TCGTATGAGGGGTTCGTGATGTATGAGTTTTCAAGAGGTTTATCTTGTTTTTGTCAGGTTTGTATGAGATTTTCTGTGATTTTTCGAGGTTCTCAAAGTTTCCGATTTTGTGAGTTATACTTTAACATAAGTTTTTATATCAGGATGTGATGTATGGAGGTATGAGGAGCGCTTTCATGAGGCTGAATGAGGATTTATGAGGTTTTGAGGATACAGGACGTTGTCTGAATAAAGAGCTGCGTTCAGGGTGCCTTTGCTTTCGTCCCAATTTTGAAAACCATGAATATTTTTGTACTGTATTTCGTAATCAATAAAGATCATAAACTAGAATAAAACACTTATTCATTATTTCTTAACTAGACATGTAAATTGACCTACAGGAAGGAGACATAGATGAGAATGAGAACAAAGATAGTATGCAAATTACGTACGCTATATCGCTTTGAAGGAAAGAAGTGGTTACAATAAAGATAAAATAGGAAGGAAGATAAACTAGTAAATTGTTAAGATCATTCTCCTTTCCTCTTTGATTTCATTTCGTTATCGCCTGTTTCATAGCAATGGTGTTACAGCTGGTATTACTACGCGTTCCCCGAACAGAAATTATTTGGTCAAATTCTGTCCGCGCAAATGTAGTTCTCGGGTAACTTTCCGCGCGCGCTTAGTTCATTTTTAGATCATTTTCCGCGCATAAAATTCTTTTGACCTTTCCGCGCACTTGTTTCATCATCCGTCCGCGCAAATGGAGACAAAATTATGTTTTCCGCGCATGAAAAAATGTAATATTCCCCGCGCGAGAAAAATACTCTACAGTCTGGTACAGTGTGGATTTATTTAGAATATATGTACATATATATAGTAAATATACATAATATATATATGTATGCATATATATCATAAATTATGTATGTATATATATATATATATATATATATATATATATATATATATATATAATATATATATATATATATATATATATGTACATAACACATACACAAACAAACAAATAAGACATAGACATATGTACATATCCGTAAAAATATGTATGCTAATGTCTCTTTAAAACATGACCGCAAACCATAATAATAATTCTGACACGCGAATCGATATAGCAAATGTTAGTAGTAAAGTAAGAATGGAATTCCCATAACCATGCATTATGGTAAGTGCATACATGTCATTTTTTAACATCTGCATTACCAATCATCACCATTTTTACAATAAAAAGAATTGAGATCAAGTCCGCAGTCACATGGTATATGAATTCAAGCGCTTAATTAGTATTATATAAATGAAAACTATGCATTAATGTTTCTGTGAAGTAAAGAGAAGTATAATAATATTGCTAATATTCTGGAATCATGATTATGGTTATAATAATGAATGTGATAATAAGTATAGTATTATATGTTTATTGGTATTATGATTGTTTTCATTATCATTATTATAATGATGGTATTCAATAAAGATAATGAAATAAGTATATCATTACTACTACACACTACACAGATAAGACATATAGATAAATATTTATATAGTAAGAGATATGGGTTTATATATATATATATATATATATATATATATATATATATATATATATATATATATATATAATATATATATATATATATATCGCATATAAACGTATGTGCCAATCTCTCTTTAAACCATGACCGCAAATTATTCTAATTTTAACACACGAAATCACCTACCTATATAGCAAATGTTAATGACAAAGTATGAATGAGATTCGCATGCCTTTTGATTATAATGGGATGATGTATATGCCATTCTTTGATATTTATATTTTTGATTCTCAACCGTTTTACGCCATAAGGAATTTGACTTCAAGACCTCAGTCACATGAAATATAAAGCTTCAGGGTAAAAGTAATCGTAATTTCAATCACTGTAAATTATTTGCTAAGTGAAAACTAATTGTTATGGTTTAGTTTTAATAATATGACAATAAGTACATTAATACATACGTTATTATTGTCATTAAAATCATTATTTTAATCTAATTTCTGAATTTGAAAATCAGTTTTATCACGACCATTATAATCCATGATTATAATAATAATTCCAAAACTATATTATATTCATTATCATTATTGCCATCATCTTTATAATGGCACAAGAATAACAATGATAGGGATGCCAATACATAAATAAACGAATTATTTTCTTCCATTCACTTTACTGCTTAAATTTTCATCATTTTACAAAAATAAATAAATAAAAACAGTAAAAAAAAGTTCAACAATTCATACGAACGAATTAATTTCTTCCATTCACTTTACTGCATAAATTTTCATCATTTTACAAAAATAAATAGATAAAAACAGTAAAAAAAAAAGTGCAACAATTCATACGAACGGTAGATTCATGTGTTGTGATCTGCCTCTTTACCATTTCCATTAGAATTCTTAGTCTCTGAATTAAGCCTTGGGAAAAAAAGAAGTTTGTATATGTCTACAGGGCTTGGGGAAGGATATTCTCACCCCCGTATATACATGTAAATATGTAATGACAAGCAGGTGCATTGGCCTATACTAACACCACACACACACACACACACACACACACACACACACACACACACACACACACACACACACTTTACTAAACCATCATGACTTTATATTTTCTTTTTATGTTGAAATATGTTGATACAAAAGAGGTAAGAATCGCGTAGAAATTGTATCAGTGATGACAACATTTATTATAAGAAAAGCTTACTTTGTTACAGAAGTACAGTTCTTTCATTTAAAAATATATTTATTTCTAAGTAATATAGAGAGACCGGGAGTGATGTGACGACGTGCTAAAGGTAAAAAAATACCAGAACTACAAAATTTGATCTACAGGCAGCCGTAATTCTATTTCTAGTAAAGAAATTCTAGAACTACAAAATTTGATCTACAGCTGGTCTTCTCATTTACATTCGTTGCTGTATAAGAAAACTTCCAATATCTACAAGAATAATGACAGGCGCTAAAATGTGTGCTTACGCTTTTAAAAAGACTTATACTTTTTGAGAACTTAGAGGAACGCTGTTGACCAAAATATCCATATTATGCCTTGAGCACTGAAGTTCTTGGCCAAGTACAAGATTAAATTTCATAAGAATTGTGAAAATCGGAGCTTAGGATGATACATGTCATCAGTGTTTTTTTTATATATGAATTACCGCATACGCACAGGTTTTACTTCACTTAATGCTATATTTATATGAATTACCGCATGCACGTAGTATTTTAATTCACTTATTGCTATATATATGTTAATAAGAATATTTTCACAAAGTAACCTCCGAAAGTGAATACTCACACACACACACACACACACACACACACGTTTACGCTGTACTATATGAAATACCTCTTTTGTTATTATTTAAACGCCACCTTCGATTCCCCTTCAAGCCAAGTGTACATTAGCACGTAGGCCCCACCTTATCATCCTTTTCATTTCGTCATTGTAAACCTTGTTAGTAAGAATATTATAACGTTTTTTTTAGACTCGCCTGTTCTCATCATTTCATCAGTACATTATGATAACAATGTAATGTCAATAGTATTTTCAAAACGATATTTCTCGCACCATAACATTATCATGGGTATAATTATGGTCGTTGTCATTATTGTTACTATTATTACTATCATCGTTAATGCTATTATTTTACTGTTATTATCATCATCTTTATTATTTATGTATGTGTGAGCGAAACCGTTTTAACCTACCTACCGGTGAAATGTACTTAGATAATTTTAATCGTGCAGTACACAGAATATCAATCATTGAAGTGAAATTACTTATCCAAAAAGGTTCACTGGGATTCTGCTAAATGTAATGTAATATTCTAAAGCTCGACAAATGAGTATTTTATATATTAATAAGAACATTCCACAGATTTCTTTCTTTTACTTCCATTTTTTTCTAATTAGTAAAGAACTCGAAACAGTTTGATGATTATTACATCATCAAAACCGTAAAGTAACATACATTTAATATATCACTACATTTAGAATTCGTACATGTGTGCGGATGAATGCATGGGCACAGTACATGACCTTGAAAATTAATTGATGAAGTTCATATGTACAAAGATTTTATCTGCTGATCTTATTCGTTTTATAAATATATCTTCGGGTTTGGATCATTCCCTGTATGTACAGGAATATGTATGAATGATTAATAATGATATTGAGGTTCAATAAAAAAAAGAAAAACTATTAATTTAGATAGAAAAAAAGAAAATGTTATATAAACAAAAAAAAAAAGTCACATCTATCCAGCACCTTCACTATGCATATACTTACATGTGTGTATGTATGTGTGTGTGTGTATGTATATATATATTATATATATATATATATATATATATGTATGTATGTATATGTGTGTGTGTGTGTGTATTATACATGTACTGTTCATATCTATGAAAACGTTTCCACATCGTCCTGTGAACTCTGCAAGATCGAATGCCGTGGATTTTAAAAGGTAATTCATAACGGGTATATTATAAATACTTTATTATGCCAACGAGTAAAAATCATACCATAAGTTATTTATTGCTTTCCCTTTTGACACTTGAGCAATTCGACTTTTAGAACTATCTACAATCTTCATTTCTTCTAAACCTAATCAGTATAAACCGTAATTGTTATTTTTACACGTAGAGGGAAAAGCACACGGACGCTTTCTTAGATTAAATGTCTTATTCAGCCTCTTGGAAGTTTATTTTTTTGTGGGTGGGGAGGGGGAGGGGGGAGGGAGGGGGAGGAATGGGGTTCCGTTGGGACCAGGGACATCCTCCTCCGCCTCCTCTTCTTCCTGCTCCTTTTTCTTCTCGTTCTTCGTCTTCTCCTCCTTTCTCGTCTTCATCATACTCCTTTTCTTCGTCGCCTACTTTTTCTATTTATTCATCTCCTCCACTTCCCCCTTATTCGTCTCCTCATCCACCTCCTCACCTCCTCCACCTCCTTTTCCTCCTCCACCTTCTCCTCTCCTCCACCTCCACCTCCTCCTCCACACACCTCTCCACCTCTCTCCACCTCCACCTCCTCCACCTCTCCACCTCCACCTCTCCCACCTCCTCCTCCACCTCTCTCCACCTCCACCTCTCTCCGCCACAACCATTAACAAGTAACACAAGGCCTTAGATAGTCCTTGGGTTCTCCCGCTAGCAACCCCCGACCCTGGTTCCTGATGAAGAGGCACGTGACATGCGTCTTGTGAAGGAGTGACCGACGGCTGGACACAAAGGCGTTGATCTGCGACACCCTGTACTTCTTGTGCGTCGCCGGCTGGATCACGGCTAGCTTCACCCTGTAGATTTTTTGGGGCGAAAGGCAGAAAAGGTCGAGTCACATCGTTGGAAATGTGTATATTTTATCTATTTTTTGCGGGATTTTATGTTTATTGGTTTTGTTTATTGAGTTTGTGGGATAGGGTCGAGTTTAAGGAAGATGCAGTGATGATAATGATAATTGTAGTGATAATGATAGGAGTGTTATTAGAAACAATAGTAGACAATAATGAAAGATGACCAATAGTAATAAAATGACAATATGATGATATTTAAAAAAATAAAAAATGAAATAATTTCAGCAAATTACAGTAAAATCATATCATAACAAGTAAACCAATGTCAGCAGTAACAAAACTATAATACTACTGAAGAAACAAAACAAACAAATAAATCAATAAAATCAATACTGTGATAAAGAAACAGATATTTATCGTAACTATTACCTGGTGGTGTTTTGTGACGTCATGTTCTTGTCAAGAGTTCCCACGGTTTTGAAAGCAAACTGACCTGGAAAATGTAGTTGATATTTGAAAAAAAAAGAAAAATTATAATAATTTTGTATATGTATGACGTATATTTCTTTCTTTTCTTTCTTTCTTTTTCTCTCTCTCTTCTCTCTTTTTTTTTTTTTCTGAGTGGATGTGGATTGTGTGTGGGAACGTGGTGCATATGTATGTGTGTGAAGGGGGGGGCATGTATGTGTATCTCTTGTGCTTGTGTTTATGTTATGTATGTGCGTGTTTTGTATATATTTGTGTGTGTGTGTGTGTGTTGTGTGTGCGTGTGTGCGTGCGTGCGTGCATGTATGTGCGTGTGAGTGAGCGTGCGCGAGTTTATGTCTGTTTTTGTGGAACTTGACTATTTAGATCATGGCATTCATTTCATGAGGCACGTTAATTTTTCTTATTTTGGAGTGAGCGGGAAAGAGTTCATGTAACATAATGGAATATACATTTTAAAGAAAAATAACAGGAAGACCGGTACAAGGAACATTATCACACACACACACACACTCCTCCACACCCCCATACCCACATACCCTCCCCCCCAATCCCCAGCACACTCCACTCTCCCCTACCACCCACCCCTCCCACCCACCCCCACCCACCACCCCACATACCAATCCCCCTCCCCCTACCACCTCCCCTCCCCACTCCCTACCCACTCACCATACCACCCTCCCCCCTCCCCACACTCTCCCCACCTCCTCCCACCACACCCTACCCACCACCACACCCTACCACCACCACGTAACCCCAACACACTCCACTCTCCCCTCCCACCTACCTCCCCACACCCCACCACCACCCCCACCCATCACCGATAACCCCCGTGGTATTCGGCGACAGGACGGTCTGCTCCTCGATGTAGAAGCCGAGGAACTGCTGTCCGTGTCTGTTCTTGGAGCGCGTGACGACGAAGTGGGCCGCCACGTCGCCCATTAGGATCTCCAATTTCCTGTGGTTCGGTAGGCCTACCACCACTTGGCCGTATCTGGCGGAGAAAGGGGATGGGTTGAAGGGGGTTAGGGTGGGTTGGGTGTGAGGTTTGGGTTTGGGTTTGGGTTGGGTGAGGTTGGGTTGGGTGGGGTGGGTTGTTTGGGGTTGGGTTGGGTGTGGTGGGTTGGGTGGGTTGGGTTGGGGTGGGGTGGTTGGGTTAGGGTGGTTTGGGTTGAGGTGGGTTGAGGTGGGGGGGGTGGGAAGGGTGGGTTGTTTGGGTGAGGTGAAGGTGGGATGATTAGGGTGGGTTGCCTTGGGTTGGTTTAGGGTGGGTGTTTTGGGGTGAGGTGGGTTGGTTGAGGTAGGTTGATGGGTTGGGGTGGGTTCGTTTGGTTTGGTTTGATTGGGTGGTTGTTAATCCTTTCTAATGAATGCTATCTTTAATACCGCTGATACACTTTAGTATTCATTTATCATTGTTACCATCAAATTTATTAGTTACTATCATATTCATTACCGATATTATAAATTTTAATCATTATCATCATCATTACTGTTCTTTAAGTTCACATTAAAATCATGAAAAAAAAAATGCTACACACCGTCAAAATCAGTAATTCTGCTGAAATAATGACAGAAAATTAATTAAAACAAAATTTATCACCATATTTCTTTTCTCTACAAAATATAACATACAAAAGAGATTTTCTTGATAGGCCTACCTCCCACCAGAGGCTTTGCTCCAACCGAAGGAATCACTGCACTCGCTTTTTAGTTTCTTCTCTTGAAGATAACTCCCAGCTGGAGGAACCAAGTCATCTTCACCGCTGACTTCACCTTCAATGACTTCATTTTCATCGGTGATTTGATCTGCACCAGTGACTTCATTCTCCTCTCTGCTGACTTCACTGTGTGTGCGTTGAGGTCTGGGTGAGGTTGTGCTTGAATGGTGAAAGAAAGGGGGTCTTGGAGTGTCATTTAGACTTGAGGATGGGGTGGATGGGGTGGATGGATCAGCGAGGCTAGGAATGGGGCTGTGGGTTCTGGTATAGGCCGTTGTTTTGGGGGATGGTGAGGTTTCGGAATTGGAGGTTGTGGTCTTAGGGTTGGAAGACGGGGATTCAGAAGTGGAAAAGGAGGTTTTAGCGGGGTTTCAGAGCTGGAAGACGGGGTTTCAGAAGTGGAAAATGAGGTTTTAGAGCGGAAGACGGGTTTCAGAGCTGGAAGATAACGTTTCAGAAATGTACAGTTCCGAAGAAGCCTCAGAAGTGTACATTTGGGTCGTTTCGTTCGGGATTCGGAGCGTCTGACTGTTGCCCTTCGAACGCTCATGACTGCCAGTAGGAGAATGACCGTGTCTCGTCTGTTTCCTGTGCGAGCGAGGCGGGTATCTGTGAGCGTGCGGGTGCCCACCACCCCTCTCCGCACTCGTGTAAAACGGATACCTCCCTTTGTGTGGGTGAAGCACGTCCCGTTTTCCTCGAGGACGACGTATTCCGACCCTCGAGGGGGAGGTATCCGCCGACGTCCGATTCTTCTTGTCAGAGGGACGCTTTCGCCGTGAGGGACGCCTCTTCCTCCGCTTCTTGCGCCCTTTGGACTCGCTCTTCTCCGCGTGCCTTCGTCTGCCTCCAGGGACGCCCTTCGAGAGCTGTCGCTGGACCTTCCTTCGGCGCCGCAGGCTCTTCAGGCGCGGCACTCGGCGCTTGCGGGGTCTGCGCTTGAAGGGCCAGAGGGAACTCGACGCCGCACTCACCTGAGGAGAAGGGGCGGGGTGAGTGGTCTCTGGACGCTGGTATGTTTCTCTCTTTTCACTTTCCTCTTACCTTTCTTTCGCTTTATCTCTTTCTCTTCTCTGTCTCTGTCTGTCTTCTGTCTGTCTGTCTCTGTCTCTCTCTCTCTCTCTCTCTCTCTCTCCTCTCTCTCTCTCTCTCTCTCTCTCTCTCTCTTCTCTCTCTCTCTCTCTCTCTCTCTCTCTCTCTCTCTCTCTCTCTCTCTCAGTCATCCTCTTAAACTCTATCTTTCACTCAAAATCTACCCCTTTCTCACTCTGTCTTTCTCTTTGCCTCCTTCCACATACCTCTCCATATCTATATACCTATCTGAATTTAGGAATAATGTCTATCTCTTTATCCATCTATCTACCTATCAATCAGTAAATCTATCTACCTATCAACCTACCTATCAGTCAGTCAGTCTATTTTTACTTGTCTATCCGCTAATTATTATGCATATCTATCAGTCAATCAGTCATTAGTCAGTCAATCAATCAGTCTATATATCCCTCTACTTTTTTGTCCGTCTATCGATCGATCTATATACCTATCCATCCATTTATCTGTCTGTCTGTTTGCCTGTCAATGCCTCCACCTATCCCTCCACCCACCCACACATTCTTCCCTCCCTCCCTTCCTCCACCCACCCACCACCCACCCACCACACACCCACACACCTCCATACATCCATCCATCCATGCATTACCTTCCACACACCATCTATTATTCATCATCTATCCATCTATCCACAACCCACCCATTACAACCCACACCCATCTATTCATTCATCTATCTATCATCTATCCCCAACTCACCATTCACGCACTCCATCTATCTCCATACCTATCTGTCCTCCATCCATCCGTCACCCTTCACACACCCATTATTACAATTTATCTATCCATCTATCCACAACCCACCCTCCATTAATACATCTGTCCATCCATCCATATTCTCTTCCCACACTCATCATTTTCATCTATCTATCCATCTGTCCACCAACCCACCCATTCACACACCCATCTATCTATCCATCTATCCACCAACCCACCCAATCACACACCCATCTATCTATCCATCTATCACCAACCCACCATCACACACCCATCATCTATCCATCTATCACCAACCACCATTCACACACCCATCCTATCATCCATCTATCCCCACCACCAATCACACACCCATCTATCTACATACCTATCTGTCCATCCATCCATCCATTTACCCTTCCATATACCGATCTATCTATTTATCTATCTAACCATCTATCCACACACCCACACACCCATCTATCTACATACCTATCTGTCCATCCATCCATCCATCCACACACCCATCTATCTATTCATCTCTTCCTCCACCCACCACCCACCCATCCATTTACATACCTATTTGTCCATCCTTCCATCCATCATCTTCCATCCACTCACCCTCCACACACATCTAATCTATTTATTCATCCATCCGTCCATCTATCTATCCACCTCATTCACCCTCCACACCCCATCTATCTATTCATGCCATCCATCCATACTATCTATTCACCCCTTCCACCACACCCATTTAATCATCTAATCCATCCATCATCATCAATCCATCATCATCCATCCATTCACACCTTTCCACACACCCATCTATCATCATCCATCAAATCCACACACCTTTCCACACACCCATCTATCTATTCATCCATCCATCCACTCATCCTTCCCACCACCACATCTATCTAATTCATCCCTCTTTCTCCACCCCCACCAACCACCCTCCACACCACCCATCTATCTACATACCTATCTGTCCATCCCATCTCATCCATCCATTCACGCCTTTTCCACACTACCCATCCATTTACATACCTATCTGTCTATCCTCCATTCATCCATCCAATCCATTCACCCTTCCACTACACCCATAATATTTATTCATCTATCTATCCATCCACCCATCCACACACCCATCTATCCATCCATCCATCTATCCACACACCCATCTATCCATCCATCCATCCATCCATCCATTCGCCCTTCCACACACCCATCCATCATCTACCATACCATTCACCCATCTATTCACCCTTCCACACACCCATCCATCCATCTATCCTTCATTCACCCTCCATCCATCCATTCGCCCTTGCCACACACCATCCACCATCCATCTATCCATCCATTCACCCATCTATTCACCCTTCCACACACCCATCCATCCATCCATCATCCATCCCATCATTCACCACCTTTGATCACACCTTCACAACCACTCGCCATCCATTTACATACCTATATGTCCATCCATCTATCCATCGACATCACCTTTCCCACCACCCATCCATCCATCTATCCATCCATTCCACCACCTTTGGATTCCCCGCCTCATCAAGACAGTCGACGGCAATTCTCTCCGGAGTGATGGTAAGACTGACTTCTCCGAGACTGATGAAAATCAGCCATCTATCCATCCATCCATCCATTCCATTCCACACACCCATTATCTATCCACCATCCATCTTCATCCATTCACCCTTCCAACACATTCTATCCCATTCCATCCATCTACTCCATTATCCACTTCCACACCCATCCATCCATCCATTTCATCCCTTCACCACACTCCATTCCATTCCACCACCCTTCTACACACCATCCCATCCATCAATCCCACACCCATCATTATCCTCATCCATCCATCAACCCACCTTTGGATTCCCCGCCTCATCAAGACAGTCGACTTCAATTCTCTCCGGAGTGATGGTAAGACTGACTTCTGCGAGACTGATGAAAATCTTCGTAAAATACGTCAATTCCGGGTGATCAGCTGATGACGTCACTTCTCCGTTGACAATGATGCCTGTGGGTGCAGGTTGGGCATGGTTAGGGATTGGTTTGTTTTGTTATTTTTGTTTTAGTTATTCTTCTTTTTTTATTTGTGATTTGTTTGGTGTGTTGTTATTTTATTTTATTTTATTTTTTTTATTTATTCTTCTATTTTATTTGTGATTTGTTTGATGTGTTATGTTTTTCATATTTTTTGTTTTGTTTCATTTATTCTTCTGTCAGTTTATTTGTGATTTGTTTGGTGTGTTGTTATTTTTTTTTTTGTTTGTTTCATTTATTCTTCTTTTTTATTTGTGATTTTTTGGTGTGTTTTGTTATATTTTTGTTTTTTTGTTTCATTTATTCTTCTGTAGTTTATTTGTGATTTGTTTTGATGTGTGTTATATTTTTCTTTTTTTTTTTGTTTCATTTATCTTCTTCAGTTTATTTGTGATTTGTTTGGTGTATTGTTAGGTTTTTCATATTTTTTCGTGTATCGTTGTCAATCTATTGTCTATATGTGTAGACATCGATTTTTTTTTCGTTTATTGTTATCTATATTTTTCATGTTTTTTTATTGTTGTATTTTTCGTGTAATGTTGTTTTCTGTTTTTCGTCTATTGTTGTTTATATAGTTTTACCTCGTTCTTATATATTTGAATATTCAAACATCTACATATCTTGTCTATTCATCAATCTTAAACATCTACCAGTCCAATAGATCTACAAATAGTAATCATACATCTAAAACACCAACTTTTTTTTATCTATCCATCTATCTATCATTTCTATCTATCTATCTATCTATCTATCTATCAAATCCATCTATCAATTCCCAATCTATCTCACATATTGTCCCTGTCCCTAAGAACCGGCGTATGTACAAAAAGTTACTTTTACGTTAACTGAGTTCAGAATTAAGTAATAATTAAGTAAAGGTAAGTGAATTCAAAGTGTTTCAACAACTGTAAAATTCCTAACAACGTCCTGATACTGCCTGTCATATCTCGGTATCGGGAAGAAATTAGGTCACAGAAGTCTGAGGAAAAAGATAATGGTTCACTGATATCAAATCCACACAAAACTCAAAGTCGACAAATTGGTGGTTACGCCGGTTCGCAAAGAAAAGAAAAGAAAAGAAAAGAAAAGAAAAGAAAGAAAGAAAGAAAGAAAGAAAGAAAGAAAGAAAGAAAGAAAGAAAGAAAGAAAGAAAGAAAGAAAGAAAGAAAGAAAAGAAAGAAAGAAAGAAAGAGAGAAGAAAAAAAAACAGGGACGATTTGAACAGATCCTAAACAATCCCTTGTTTCCCAACTAGTGCATGACTTCTTCGCCTTTAGCTGTGCATGACTGACCTGACCTGTGATCGCGTACAAGACTGAAGACGTCCTTGTTCTGTCCATGCAGGTCGAAGCACAGGGGAAGGTGGACCCCCGGGACTTGTACGACGAAGTGGGGGTCGTTGTCCCCTGGGAAAGGAGAGAAGGAAGGGGGCTTAAGGGAAGGTGTTGATGGGGATGACTGGTGGGTGGTAAGGTGGGCGTGAGTGTAGTATGTGATGTATGGGTATTGTTTTGAGTGTATGCTTCATCAGCGCACACACACACTCACTCACTCATTCACACACTCACTCACTCACTCACTCACTCACTCACTCACACACTCACTCACACACACATCACACTCACAACACACACACACACACACACACACACACACACACACACACACACACACACACACACACACACACACACACACACACACACACACACACACACACACACACACACACACACACACACACACACACAGACACCCTACAACCCAACCCAACCCTCAACCAACCAACACCCATCCAAACAAACCACACACAACGACAGACGACAGACACTCACCAACCACCACCACCACCAACAACAACAACAACAAATAAACCAACAATGACAAAAAGATCGAAAAAAAAACAACACTCCTAACCGAAGGAGAACCGCCTCTTGCTCTGGGTGTCGACTCGCGAGTGGAGAGGCGCCGGTAGGGTCTTGGCGAACTCCTCGGCACTCAGGAGGGTGAGGTCCTGGTCGGTGTTGGGTAGTCTGATGGTCACCGAGTTGGACTTCTGGTGGAGGGCCGCGGACTTGTAGCCTGAGGGGTGGCCCTCGGAGTCCGGCACGATGTCCAGGGAGGTCAGTTTCGTCAGGAATTGGAACTGCGGAAAAAAGGGGGTTATCGGATGGTTATAATTGTGGAAGGGGGTCGTTCGTTAGTTATTCTGTAGAAGGGGGGTCGTTGGTTATTTTTTGGAAGGGGGTCGTTGGTTAGTTATTCTACAGAAGGCTCTCGCTGGAAGATCGTCGTTGTTTATCTATTCTAAAGAAAGGAACCATTCTCTAGATATTTTCCGAAAGCATGTCGTTGCTTAATGATTCTACATTCTTCTCTCTCCCTCTCCCTCTCCCTCCCTCCCCTCCTCTCTCTCTCCCTCTCCCTCTCCCTCTCTCTCTCTCCCTCTCTCCCTCCCTCTCTCTCTCTCCTTTATCCTCCTCACTATAAAAAAAAACACATTCACTTATTCAAAATAGCTTCACTTACCCGAACAGCAATGTCGAGAGCCCTGGCGCGCATTTCCGCCCGTAGGTTCGAATCCTCTACCACCTCCTGCATCGATAACAAATCCTACGAAAAAAAGGGATTGAAACCCACTTAGTGTTTAGATCTCTTATAGTTTGGAGAGAAAAAAAAAAACACTTATTTTTATGGCGCAAAAAATAAAATAAAAAAAGAAATAAAAGGGAACACGAAATTGAATGAATTGATGGATGAAGTGAATTAAATAATTAAATAAATCAGTAGATGAATAACAAATATTTTTTTAATTCAACGAATAAAGTAAATACACTGGAAAATAAATTAATCAAACAACAGATACACGAACCCATGATTATCATATAAAAAAAGAAAAGAAAAAACAACAACAACAGACACATACGTAAACGAATGAATAAAAAAAAAAATCAAATAAAAAGAAAAAAATAAACAAATACACAAACGAATGAATCAAAAAAACGATAATAAAAATAGAAAATACACAAAAAAAAAAAAAAAAAAAAAAAACACAACAAAAAAAACCCAGACCATCCACCCCACCGACCTGCACCGCGAGATACGCCCAGAGCTCTCACGTAGTTATCTCTCTCGGGCTCCTCCACGGCTTGGACACTCGGACCCCTGAACTGCATCGGCCCGGACCGCCCCTGTCCTGTGATGATGGGCCGCACCTCCGTGGCCCCCTCTGCCAGCTGCCCTGCCAACACCACCTGCCAAAAGCGGAGGAGGTTTTGTGTGAGAGGTCAAGCTGGTGGGAAAATGGGGTTGGTGGGTTTTTGTTATAATAAGGAGGGAAGGGGAAGAGAGGGAGAGAGGGAAGAGGGAGAAAGAAAGAGAGGGGGAGGGAGAGGGAGGGAAGGAGGGAAGGGAGGGAGGGAGAGAGGGAAGAGGAGAGGGAGAGAGAAAGAGAGGGAGAGAGAGAGGAGGGAGAGAGAAAGAGAGGGGAGAGAAAGAGAGGGAGAGAGAGGGAGGGAGGGAGGGGAGAGGGGAGAGAGAGAGGAGAGAGAGAGAGAGAGAGAGAGAGAGAGAGAAGAGAGAGAGAGAGAGAGAGAGAGAGAGAGAAGAGAGAGAGAGAGAGAGAGAGAGAGAGAGAGAGAGAGAGAGAGAGAGAGAGAGAGAGAGAGAGAGAGAGAGAGAGAGAGAGAGAGAGAGAGAGAGAGAGAGAGAGAGAGAGAGAGAGAGAGAGAGAGAGAGAGAGAGAGAGAGGTGAGGGAGAGAGACAAAAAAAAGAAAAAAACAGAGAGAGAGTGAAAAGGAGAGCGATAAAGAGAGTGAGAGATTAGAAGGAAAATTTCCCAATATTCTTTTTAGCATATTATCCTACTCCTACTACATGAACATGCCATGTATTGACACCTACTTCAAGAATATAATACATTTCAAACGATGCACCTCATACACAAGTATTAACATATAACTTATCTACTTTAGGCAACTATTACAGAACTATTTGTCTGTTAAAACGAGTATGACTTGTATTAACACCTACATCATGCACTACCGGACATCAACGTGTATCATACTTTACGTCATACAACTAATGCATGAGAATTATCATATATACATACTACTAACCTATTTTAGCCATAATTACACCTATTAAGATCATTACCTGTTATTATGACATATGCACGAATATTAACATGCATTATACCTTACGTCATTAACTTAATACACCAGCATTAACATATACCTATTATCGTATCACTATTACACCTACGATATGTACCTATTAAGCTAGTATGCGTATGTACTACAACACCTACTATTAAGCTAGTATGACCTGTACTATTACACCTACTATCAAGCTACTATGACCTGTACTACAACACCTACTATTAAGTTAGGATTATCTGTACTATAACACCTACTATTAAGCTAGTATGACCTCTGTACTATAACACCTATATAAAGCTAGTATGACCTGTACTATTACACCTACTATAAAGCTAGTTTGATCTGTGCTATTACACCTACTATTAAGCTAGTATGACCTGTACTACAACACCTACTATTAAGTTAGGATTATCTGTACTACAACACCTACTATTAAGTTAGCATTATCTGTACTATGATAAGATACTATGACCTGTACTATAACACCTACTATTAACTACTTCCAGCATTACATGACTACTAACAAGCACGACACGTTACGTCACGACTTACTTCATCACCGGAGTAGTAAGTCGACGTTCCTTGACGCACGACGGTGTTGGGCTCAACCTCGTCGTCCAGGTACATCACGTCGACGTCTGTGATGAGCGGCGTTGAGATCTCCTCGTAGAAGTTCCTGAGTTGGTCGGCGGGATGGGCGTGGGCGTGGGCGTCGATCTTGCGGGTGAATCCGCGGTTGTCTGTGCTCACCTGACGGAGCAGTCTGCGGGGGAAGGGGTAATGTTCATGCAGATTTTGTGTACCAGAGAACGCTACTATTAAGCTACTATAACCTGTACTATTACACCTACTATGAAGCTAGTATGACCTGTACTATTACACCTACTATGAAGCTAGTATGACCTGTACTATTAAAACCTACTATGAAGCTAGTATGACCTGTACTATAAAACCTACTATGAAGCTAGTATGACCTGCTTGCGGGATTTTACGTTGCAGCTGTTTTTTGGAAATGTGTGAGGTACAAGGGTTCCCTCAGGACTTTGACCCCAAACAGAGTGCAAATATATATTATTCTATCCAAAATGGATGGTAAGTTTAGTTCTGATCGGTGTTGGAATGCGGGTTTTCGTCTCCGTAGATTTATCGAGGGGGATTGTGGGTTGGGGGCTATGGAGGTTGGGATGCTGGTTTTTGGTTCCGTAGAGGTTTAACAGGTTCAAATGTTTATTTAATTTGGAAGGTCGGAATGTATGAGCACTTTGGAATGCTGGTTATTGGTTCCGTAGAGGTTTAATAGGTTCAAATGTTTATTTAATTCGGAAGGTCGGAATGTATGAGCACTTTGGAATGCTGGTTGTTTCCGTAGAGGTTTAATATGTTCAAAGGTTTATCTCATTTGGAATTTCGGAATGTATAAGTACTTGATATCATCCATATATACACAAATCTACATCCATTTTCAGTCGCAAATCTATTTAAAGAATGCATAATACTCACACACACACAAACACTCTACCGTATCCAACTCCCTATCAATCTACGCACACTATCTATCTACTACTCATCCTACACACACACAAGACTTCAGCAGCTTCTTATCTCACCGCATATCTGCATCTCCACCAAAACCAAGCGAGAAGATCGGGTAGTTGTGGATGTTGGCTTCTCGTACGTTTCTGCGAAGCAAATCTGACTTGGTTTCCCCCAAGTTGGGCTTGCCGTCCGTCAGGAACACCACCTGCGAGGAAGGGGGGAGGTTTTAGCTTCGGGGTGGAGGACTTGTGTGGGGATATAGGCTGGGTATGAGGGTATAGGATTTGGAACACGCGCTGGGTATGAGGGTATAAGGGTATAAGGTTTGGAACACTTCCTGGGCATGAGGGTATGAGCTTTGGAACACGCGCTGGGTTTGAGGGTATGAGCTTTGGAACACGCGCTGGGTATGAGGATATAGGCTTTGGAACACTCGCTGGGTATTAAGGTATGAGCTTTGGAACACTCGCTGGGTATGTGGGTATGAGCTTTGGAACACTCGCTGGGTATGAGATTTGGAACACTCACTGGCTATGAAGGTATCAGCTTTGGAACACTCGCTGGGTATTAAGGTACGAGCTTTGGAACACTCACTGGCTATGAAGGTATCAGCTTTGGAACACTCGCTGGGTATGAGATTTGGAACACTCGCTGGGTTTGAGGGTATGAGATTTGGAACACTCGCTAAGTTTGGTAATATAAGCTTTGGAATACTCACTGGGTATGAGCTTTGGAACACTTGCTGGCTATGAGGATGTGAGCTTTGGAACACTCGCTGGGTATAATGATATAAGCTTTGGAACACTCGCTGGGTATTAAGGTACGAGCTTTGGAACACTCGCTGGGTATGACGGGTATGAGGGTATAGGATTTGGAACACTTCCTGGGTATGAGGGTATGAGCTTTGGAACACGCGCTGGGTTTGAGGGTATGAGCTTTGGAACACTCGCTGGGTATGAGGGTATAAGGTTTAGAACACTCGCTAAGTTTGGTAATCTAAGCTTTGGAATACTCACTGGGTATGAGCTTTGGAACACTTGCTGGCTATGAGGATGTGAGCTTTGGAACACTCGCTGGGTATAATTATATAAGCTTTGGAACACTCGCTGGGTATTAAGGTACGAGCTTTGGAACACGCGCTGGGTTTGAGGGTATAGGCTTTGGAACACTCGCTAAGTTTGGTAATATAAGCTTTGGAATACTCACTGGGTATGAGCTTTGGAACACGCGCTGGGTATTAAGGTATAAGCTTTAGTAACATTCGCTAAGTTTGGCGATCTAGACTTCAAAAAAGAACAATCGTTATATGTTTTAAGGATCTGACATTCAGAGTTCGAAGAGGTAGATGCTTCTCAAATATACATCTAGTGTTCAAAGCCTCTGTAATATCCATGGAACATTCGCTGGTTAATTAAGGTGTTCTTTAATGCTTAAGATAAATGATATGTATATAGAAACGAAGAGAAGTAATGTTTATATAAAATGTAATACCAAAAAAAGTACTTGAATTATTGAAATATATAGGAGGGAAAACATGGCACTACAAACCAACCATCCATCAATCAAAATACTCGAACACACTAAAACACACAATCACAACACTCCAACACACTAAAACACACAATCACAACACTCCAACACACTAAAACACACAATCACAACACTCGAACACACTAAAACACACGATCACAACACTCGAACACACTAAAACACACACAATCACCATCATCAATGCACAAACATGACCAAAAAAAAAAAAAAAAAAAAACTCTTTAGCTGCCGTGGTTTCATTTACTCTAACACACAATCACCATCATCAATGCACAAACATGGCCAAATAACAAAAACAAAAAAAAACCTGTTTAGCTGCCGTGGTTTCATTTACTCTATCACACTACAACACACACAATCACCATCATCAATGCACAAACATGACCAAAAAAACAAAACAACAAACAAACAAACAAACAAACCTGTTTAGCTGCCGTGGTTTCATTGAAATTGTTCATCTCCAGAATGGCCCTGAGGAGTGCCTCGTTGAAGTTGGTGCCTCCCATGGCGTGGAGTCGCTTGATCTTGGTCACTCCTCGCTCCACGTCCTTGGGGTTGGCCGTGAACACTCCCAGCGAGGTCACGCGGGTCGAGAACACCAAGACCTGTGGGGTGAGGCCTGTTTGAGGGCGTGGGGTTTGTTGGGGTTTTGGAAGAGGGAAGGAGTAGTTAGCGTTTTATCTAAATGTATACATTTATTTCTGTATATATATATATATATATATATATATATATATATATATATATATATATATATATATATATTGTGTGTGTGTGTGTGTGTGTGTGTGTGTGGTGTGTGTGTGTGTGTGTGTGTGTGTGTGTGTGTGTGTGTGTGTGTGTGTGTGCGTGCGTGCGTGCGTGTGTGTGTGTGTGTGTGCGTGTGTGTGTATATATATATGTGTATATATATATATATATATATATATATATATATATATATATATATATATATATAAATGCTTCCATGATCTTCCTCTTTTTAAAAATCTTTTTCCTCACTTTCTCCTCTTCCCTCTTTCATATTTCTTCTCACCCTCCATCACCTCGAAAAATCATCTGGTTTAATAGTCTATCTCTGTCTCTGTCTCTGTCTCTCTCTCCATTCCTACCCCCTCCTCCCATCCCCCTACATTCCTGCCTCTCCGCTTTGCTCCATCCCCCCTCCCCCGCCATCTCCCTCCCTCCCTACCTCCCTTCCCCCTCCCTCCCACTCTCCCCTCTTCTTTACACTCTCTCCTTCCCTTTCCCTCCTCCCACTCTCACCCTCTCCCATCCACTCTCCCTCCTACTTCCCTCCCTCCCACTCTCACTTCTTCCACTACCTACCCCTTTCCCTCTCCTCCCACTCTCCCTCTTTCTTCACCCTCTCCCATTCCACTCTCCCTCCCTACCCCTTTCCCTCCCTCCCACCTCCCCCTCTTCTTCACCCTCTCCCATTCCACTCTCTCCCTCCCCCCCTTTTCCCCTCCCTCTCTCCCTCTTCTTCACCCTCCCATTCCACTCTCTCCCTCCCTACCCCCTTTTCCCCTCCCTCCCACTCTCCCCTTCTTCTTCACCTCTCTCCTCCCTACCCCTTTTCCCCTCCCTCCCACTCTCCCCTCTTCTTCACCCTCTCCCATCCCTCTCCCTCCCTACCCCCTTTTCCCCTCCCTCCCACTCTCCCCTCTTCTTCACCCTCTCCATTCCACTCTCCCTCCTACCTTTTTCTCCCTCCCACTCTCCCCTCTTCTTCACCCTCTCCCATTCCACTCTCCCTCCTCCCCCCTTTTCCCCTCCCTCCCACTTCCCTCTTCTCACCCTCTCCATTCCACTCTCTCCCTCCCAATTTCCCCTCTTCTTCACCCTCTCAATGCACTCCCTCCCTCCTCTCCCACTCCTCCCCTCCCTCCCTCCCTCCCAATCTCCCCTCTTCTTCACCCTCCCCATTCCACTCTCTCCCTCCCTTACCTCTCCTTTCTCCTCCCTCCCACTCTCCCTCTTCTTCATCCTCTACCAGTCCACTCTCTCCTACCGTCCCTCTCCCAACATCTCCCTCTCACTCTCCTCTTCTTCACCTCACTCATTCCACTCTCTCCTTCCCTCCTTCCTCTCCCACCTCCTCCTTCCCAATCTCCCCTCTTCTTCACCCTCTCCCACCTCCTCCCCCACTCTCCCTCTTCTTCACCCTCTCTCAATCCACTCTCTCTTCCCTCCCTATGTCCCTTCCCCTCTTCTTCACCCTCTCTCCTTCCCTCCCTACCTCTCCCATCTCCTCCCTCCCTACCTCTCCCATCTCCTCTCCCACTCTCGTCTTCTTCACCCTCTCCCACCTCCTCCCTCCCGCTCTCCCCCTCTCCCCCTCTTCTTCACCCTCTACCAGTCCACTCTCTCCTACCGTCCCTCTCCCACCTCCTCCCTCTCACTCTCCCCTCTTCTTCACCCTCTCTCATTCCACTCTCTCCTTCCCTCCCTTCCTCTCCCACCTCCTCCCTCCCACTCTCCCCCTCTTCTTCACCCTCTCCATTCCACTCCCTCCCTCCCTCCTCCCCCTCCTTTCTCCTCCCTCCCATCCCTTCGCTCACACCTCGAAAGAATCCTCCGGCTTCATACTGTGAAGAATGGACTCCATGGCGAGCTTCAGTTGGTCGAGTTTGCCGAAGTCGTACATAGACCCCGAGATGTCGAGAACGAAGACAGTGTGGGTGGGCAGCTTGGGTAGTCCCTCGGGGCAGAAATAGTGGACGAAGAAGCCCCCCAGGATCTGTGGAAGAAAGGTGGCGTGAGGATAGCGTCGGAATGGTGGATGATGGGTATAAGATGATGAAAGATGATGAAAGATGGTGTGAAGATGGTGTGAAGATGGTGGATGATGGCATAAGATGGTTGGTGATGTCATGGGTGGTGAGAGAGAGTAACTCTCACTAACTTGTGCCAACAAGGTTGGGGGATCTCGTGGGGAATCGGGGGTTTGGGGGAGGGGGGGATTTCGTTCATATAAATGCATTTTAAAAAGCAAAAGAATGTGGGAAATTGAAAATCCGAGCCAAGGATAGTATTTCAGATGACAAAGAAAGTGAAAATGTAGGAATCCGAGAGAAGATTCGGCCACAGATGATTCGATACGGTGTTGCGCGAGCGAACGATCGAGTGAACCGTATCTTAAACGCACGAACGACCAGTAGGATCGCCGTATGAACCAAAAAACCTTCCTAACCCGGAGGCTACGCCCCCGAACCCCCTCCCGATTGCCATATTTCCCTACTGGGGGCTTCGCCCCGGACTCCCTCCCGATTATCTAGCTTCCCTACCGGTGCCTCTATATCGCCACTGACTACACCTGAAACACAAAATGAATTTACCTTAAAGTTGGGGGGACGGTGGTTGGGAAGTGACGAACCGCAGACGAAATTCTACAACTGGAACATGGTTATTGTATTTCACTGAGTTTCGTCTTATCCCCGATATTGTAACGATTTCAGTGAGAGATCGATTTCACCGCAAAGTTGGAAAAAAATCGGAAACGCTAGTAGCACTGTAAACAACCTTCACCTTTGAAACAAACAACGAGAACAGTAACAACAGAACTGTCAAATTTGCCGGGAGAGGGCAGCGATGCGCAAGTATGGATATACCATGCATTTCTAATGAAACTATGGTGCATATATGGTAAAATCGTTCACATCGTGTATTTAAGGAATGAACATTTGATAAATGCGTTTTTCGTTAAAATTTCATATAAATTAGAATACAGAAATACATTTTACTACAGTGCATTTATGAGAAATTTGTCGTGACGTCACTAGCTACATGCGCCAAAACAGTTCATGTTGGGTTCCCGCTCAGCTAAGTGGTTCGCTGCGACGCGAGGGGCTGGATTTTGTCGCTGGAGGCTCGTGGGGACTTTCTGCGCGCCAACTTTTCCTCATTTAACTCGAAGAGGTTCGCTTCTGCAAATCAATTTTGATAACAATGCATGTAGTTTTTCATCGCCTACAACGCTATGATCTTCAATTTTCTCCTAGTCGGTGCGGTCCTATCGTAAACCTTAACCAAAAAGAAATATAAGTTATCTATTCTCTTCCTTTTGCTTTTTACAAGCAGAACAAGGATAAGACTTTCCTGACAATGTCGGAACTGTCAGAACAATTTTCGCGCTTCTAAGTAAACAAACAGACGGGTATGAGATGACGTCACGAGATGCTCACTAACGCCATCTATTGCGCCGACGCCGCATTACTCACAGAATTTTGCTCGACTTTCCGGTCTTTCGTAGATAGTCTTTGGTAACATGCAGTAACATACAAGCCCTTACCTGTATTTCTCCTCCATCAGCCTGTCTATCCACATCGTAAGAAATGCTTAAAAGACCTTCTTTATCTTCTTCGCTGTCTACTTCATTCGCATCTATGCTATCATCATCGTTCTCTTCATTGTTTCCGTCTTCATCACGTATATTTTTGGCTCTTGCAGTAATATTTTCCTCCCGGTAAGTCAGCAGTATTTCCGAAGGACTTAGCCGCTCCTGATGTACTAAAGAAAACGGGAAGAATATAACGTGTTAAAGAAAATGAAAAAAAACAAGAAAATGCGGTAACGCTATCATTCTTTGCGTTGTTCTCGTTGTTACATGGGAGACAAGAAAAATAAAAGAAATAAATAAATAAACAAGGGATCCATTACCCCCTCCCCCTGGTGCAAGTCCCTGTGAATTTGTTCAATTTCGTTGTACTTTCATGTTTACCATCAACATTATAGCTTTTCCTTCCTTGATTTCCTTTATTCTTTAAATTCATGTCACTAGTTGTTTAATTATGGAAAATATCAATGTCTTTACCATATGATTAACAGTATCATCACAATCATTGGAATTATCAACCTCATTGTTGATGTTACTGTATTATCTGTAATTCCATCACTAGCGAAGATAATTTGTTTAAAATATTCAGCTTTTATCAATATAGTTCTAATTACTATTCATTGTCTCTCTGGCTACTGTTATTATCCGCATTATGTTTACATTAACGATTATGGTTACATTACTGTTATCGATAAATCAACAATATTCCTGAATAATATTAATATTGATGATGATGACAATAATGATATAATCTTTATGACTATCATTATTTGTACCTTCATCATAACTACTGTTATTTGATTATTATCGTTATTATTCTTATTCTTATTCTTATTATTGTTATTATTCTTATTCTTATTCTTGTTATTATTATTATTCCAACTACATCTAATATTAGCATTATCGGTGTTAGTCTGCCTTATGACTTAATAGTTCCACCACCATGATCACCACCATTACCATTATTATAATCTTAATGTACCATTATCATTATAATAATCTTAATGGTTATTACCAATATCATAATCTTAATGTATCATTATAATAATCATTATCATAATCTTAATGGTTATTATCATTATATCTTTATGGTTATTATCATTATCATAATCTTAATGGTTATTATCATTATCATAATCTTAATGGTTATTATTCATTATCATAATCTTAATGGTTATTATCATTATAATAATTTTAATGGTTATTGTCATTATCATAATCTTAATGGTTATTATCATTATGGCATTATTATCACTGTTACCATTATCATAACCATTATCATTACCAGTATTATACCCATCATCAACCTCAAAATCATAAATAACATTCGCATACAAACCTTCATTGGATCCGGAAAGACCTTCATTTTCGTGATCATTTGGAATTTCAGTCTCGAATTCGGTGATGTTTTCCGTCTCTGAAATTCTGACTCTGACATCCAACAGGCTGATTTTCTGTAATGGTAAAACATCATGAAAAATTCTATATACTATATGCACACACACACACACACACACACACACACATATACACATATATTTATTCATCATAGATATATTCATTTATGTTTTCATTCTCTCTCTCTCTCTCTCTCTCTCTCTCTCTCTCTCTCTCTCTCTCTCTCTCTCTCTCTCTCTCTCTCTTCTCATCTCTCTCTCTCTCTCTCTCACACACACACACACACACACACACACACACACCACACACACCACATATATATATATATATATATATATATATATATATATATATATATTATTGATTTGTTCATTTATATTTTCATCTCTTCTCTCTCTCTTCTCTCTCTCTCTCTCTCTCTCTCTCTCTCACACACACACCACACACAATTTATTTAATGTGATCTTAAACATATCACCTAAAATAAAGCCACGCAGGAATTAATACATAGCACAAATGACTCACATTGGCAGGTCGTAAGTAGAGTCTATGAGTGTACTTTCCCTTCACTCTTTGCAACAGCTCTTCGTACTTGAGGTAGAACACTGCGGTCTCGTTGGCACCCACGCTGGCACTCGCTCTAAATGTTTGTGTGGTTTTGATCTTCTTCGTGGCACTGTATGGAATGAAAAACAGATCAACACCAAGAACAAAGAACAACAAATAATAATAAATAAATAAAAGAATAAATAAATAATAATAATAATTCAAAATGGATAATTTATAGTATGCCATAAAATGTCAATACACCTTTGTAATTGAATCATTGAATTGAAGATCAAAATAGGCAGCTGATAGATTATTCATGAGTATAGAAAAATGAATAATAATGCCACTATAAATCCTATTTGTCATGGAATCGAATTTATATTTTTGCACTGAGGACACATGGTCAAAAATAGAAAGAGATGTAATACCAAGGAGAACACATGAAGGGTAACAAAAGAAAAAAATAAAAACAATGAAAATATGATAAACATAGAAAAATGTATAATAGAGAAATACTATTAAAAATACTGTAAGTGTAATGGAATCGAATTTATATTTTTGCACTGAGGACACGAGGTTACAAAATAAACAAAGAAGTAACACCACAAAGACATGAAACGTAAAGAATGAAAAGGAAAACAAAGAAATAACAGAATAAAAAATATAAAATAAAATAATAAAAATAACAGAATAAAAATATCAGAATAATACAAGAAACACCACTTCCTTTTACCTCTTTTTCTCTGCATCACTAGAAGGGTTGGGGTCGGGTCGTCGCCGTTCGTGGGGGCGCCGCTCCCTTATAATCGTCGTGTAATTCTTGCCATTGCTCTCGCTGTAAGATCAAGTAGTAATGGTATCATTATCCTTGTTTACGTTGCTAGGGACGTAGATATCAATAATAATAGTGATGATGATGATGATGATGATTATGAATAATAATAAATAATAATGATAATAATAATGATAGTAATAGTAGCAACAATATCAATAATAATAATTATTATTATTATGGCAATAATTCTCATCATTGTCATTATGTTAGTAGGAACAAAGAAAAAAAAAGAAACTTATGATGATAATAATGATGATCGTGGTTATAACGATAATGGTAATCACGATAATATGAGAAAAAAGAAGAAAAAAGAAAAGGAAGAAAGGAAAGGAAAGAAAAGAAAAGAAAAGGAAGAAGAAAAAAGAAGAAGTAGAAAAAAGAAAAGAAAAATAATAAGAAAGAAAAACAAAAAAAAAAAAAAAACAGAAAAAGAAAAAGAAAAACAACAAACAATACCAGCTCATATATTTCATTACAAATAAAAATCTGAAGAAAAAAAACGCACATGGTCAGGGTAGTGACGTAAGCCCCCCAAGGCAACAGCAGTTTAAACTTGAGATCAGAGGGTCTTGGCTTGCTGTTCGTGACGGCGGCCGTGACGTAGGTGACGGCGTATCGATGACCCACTTCGGAGGTCACTTCCAGGCGAGAGATGACGTCGCCATGACAGTTGACCTGCAATGAGGTTTAGTACATAGTGTAGGCCTATAATCTCAGTACTTGAGGTAGGCCTATAATCAGTTTAATGCAAGTAAACAACCCTCACCTGCTATCGGGGTTTGTCGCTAAGGGGGGTTTCCGCGCGATAAAACCTACATATATTGTATAGAGTGAGAGGAATCCAACTAAAATCTAAAATACTAAAATCGTCGATGTAGGAGCGGCGGACATAATATAGAAAATTATCCATCTATCTTTCTAACTCTATCTTTATGTCTGTCCATCTATCCCTGTTTTAATTGATTAATGAATTCGTCCATTCATCCATCAATCTATAGATGATAATAACAAGAAAATAAAACTTCTAGAATTCTAAGAAAAATTATACAGGTTTCCCCTTCACATTCTACACCAAAGAAAATGAACTATAAGTAAACGGTAACTAGCATAAATTTGGACTTGTCTTCATACAATGTGAACAGTGTATAAAAAATTACATAACTCAGTTCACACTTTAAGAGCGTGCCTTTACTGAAGCAATAGACAAAACCGTTAAAAAATACTGTAGAATTTAAAACAAGCAAAAGAATCAATCAATAATTCAAACCGTAATTATATTTCTTTACAGTTGAAATGCATCTTTTTGCTTCTACCATTGGCATTGGAGTTGTTACTTGTTTAGCAACTAGACAGTAAATGTTAATTAGAATTTATAATATACATTTTTTTCTTTATCTAATTTATTTTTATCATTATTTCTTTTACATCGCAGAGCAAGTTCAGTTCTCACACTGACTAGTTCATGTAAGGAATATACTGCAACTGTTTGTACATCAAGAAAATCCTTGGCATACAGTACATGCTACATTACGTCGCATATATAAAATATAACAGATGAATCGGCTACTGAATAGTTGCATGCCATTGTTTTAATACTATTCTGAGTTCTTATAATATCCTTTACTGTATATCCATTGAGTTCGAATATTTCAGTATGTTACACCGTGCACTTTATGTATCTTTCATTTCATACACTGCAATTACTCCTCTGTTCTTTAAATT